GCTAGTGTTTCAACATCATGGAGTTTATTAATTTAGTTAAATATGGTGCTTGTTTAATTTCATTGTTATTTGCCTGTATGTCCGTAGTTTTGAGTTCTCTCTGTTATTGTCTTGATTCCATAGTTTATTGTAGTAGTCTTTAGATATCTGATATAAATAGTCATTATTAATGTTATCGATGTCAATGTTGTATGTTGTTTTGATGTTGTTGAGTTTTTGCAGCCAAGAGTTAGAATAACACTGTTGTTTCAGCTCCATTAAAGCGTCATATGCAAATGTTATTGATCCACTCTTGGTGATGTGCTGATAATATTTTATGGCTCTTTGTTGTACTATGGATAAGAGTGGCAGTCTTCCTAATTCCATTCGACATCCGATGTGCTGCTTTTGTTGTTTAGGGATAATATCTGACGACAGAGTCTTACGTGACATTTTTCAGTGTCTGTGTGGTCCCATTGTTGTATGTTTATATGTATTCCCCATATTTCTGAGCCATATAATAGTATAGGTTGTTGTATAGTATCAAATAGTTTGGTCTTCAATCTGATGTTCTTCTTGTTTTTTGGGTAGATCGTTGATAGATTACGTTCTGCTTTTTTTGCTTTATCTGCCAGTATTTGTGTTGTTTTTGTCAGGGTGCCATTGGAGTTGATGTTGATGCCCAGATATGTGAACTGATTTGTCTTTTGTAGTGTTGTTTTGTTGTATGGGAAAAAAGTATTCTCTGATTTATGTCCGTTTTTTGTGAACGTCATTGTTTTTGTCTTTTCCGTGTTAACTGTCAAGCCCCATTTCTCTGTGTATTGTTGTAGTGAGTTGATGTTTGCTTGGAGTCCAGACTTTGACTTCAGGGCTATATCATCAGCATACATCAGATTTGATATAGCTTTATTGTTGAGTTTTGGCATATGGTCTGTGTTGAGGTTGAGGTCTTCTGATAGGTCATTTATCAATACATTGAAAAGTGTTGGGCTCAGGGGGCAGCCTTGTTTCACTCCATTTTCTAATTGGAATAGTGGCGAGATTTTTCCATCCAGTTTGATTTGGAATTGCATGCTGCTGTACATGTCATTAATGATGTTGTACATTGGGCCACTTATGTTGTGCTTTTGTAGTTTGTACAGGAGTCCATCTTGCCATACTGTATCAAAACATTTCTTGAGATCTATGAAACACGCATACAGATTTTTGTTCCTTGATTGATACATTTTAATCAGTGTGTGTATTGTTAATATGTTGTCTATAGTTCTGTGTCCTTTCCTGAATCCTGCTTGGTTTTTGTGTATGATGTTCTGTTTCTCTAGAAAGTTGATAAGTCTTGTATTTAGGATAATTGCGAATATTTTGCCTATATTGCTGCTAGTTGAAATGCCACGGTAATTTGATGGATCCAATGCATTGCCTTTCTTATGGATAGGTGTTATTTTATTGATGTTCCAAAGCTGTGGGTAATGTTCAGTAGTAAGTACATGGTTGTATAATAATTGTAGAGCTTGACTCAGAAGTGGGCTACCATATTTCAACATCTCTGGTGGTATTCCATCTATGCCAGATGATTTTCTATTTTTTAGTTTTCTTAATACGGTAGTGATTTCATGTAATGTTGTTTTCTTGTTAGTATTCGTTTGTTTTCTTC